GGTGGCAGTGTGAAATAGGGAAAATAAACGCAAAAAAACATTTCATGACCAGACAAATGAAGAAAAAACTGCTAAAAGAGAAAAGAAAGTGCTCTTCTCACAGATGGAGTCTGCTCCAGACGGGGTGTTAGATGTCAGGGTATGATTCACTGACCATGGCTGTGGCAGTCAAGACGACTGCATGTGAGTGGGCACATGGACCATATTCATTGACAATAGTCTGAGACTCTGAGCTTCCTTGAAATAGGCCGCAGTGCACGCTGTTCGGTTGTTCTGACAGAAAAGTCTCTTTGGCAAAGGAGGGCATTTGCTGTAGGTGAGGGGATCGAACCCTCCCAAACACCTTCCAAACCACAATCAATTTCCAGCGATGAAGCCATTCGTCTTTGCCTTCGCCGTGAGTGAAACGTGTGTGACTTCATGAACCAAAAAACTTGGTTGTGATTTCATGCACGTTTGGGACAGCCACAGGACCCGGACAACAAAAACAAAAGAAAAAACTACCAATGGGAGAGCAAAAGAAAACATCCTTTTCCCGGGCTTGACTCACAAAAACAGGCTACTGCTGATTTCCTGCCAAATCCAAGATGCCTGACAGTCACACACCTTAAACATTAATCCACATACATCGGTAGTGGGATCTCCCTCCAGGGTTGAGGAACTGCAGCTTCAGCAAATCACCGACTATGCCCTGCCTCGCTGGCAGGGGACTGGTAAGAGAAAAAAAAAGTAAAAAAGGAAAGCGACAACATCCACAATCTGACCGTGTTAGCAGCAAGATTCATTCTGTGGAGGACTACTGTGAGCAGGGCCTCCTAGACTACCCTGCCCGACATCATTGCAGTAGAGAAAGTATCTTTTTTTTTTTTTCACGAGCGGGCAATATAAAACTAAAGTTTAATCCAGCGGCCTAGCTCAGTTGGTAAGGCATGCAAGTGGCATTCAGGACGTCCTGGGTTCAATCTCCATTGGCCTCATGTACCTTCCTGGGCAAGCTTGGCACCCGCCACCTAGAGATATGCTGTTGGTCCCCCCGAGTGGCATTGAGCAGAGACTGTCGATGTTCATAGGAGGAGGGGACTGGAGCAGAGGCACAGTGACTGGCCCATTGAAGAAGCTCAGTCTTGATGCTACCGGCTGACCCCTGGCCGGTATCGCTCACCTGCTGGTGGATGGAGCTCCCACATGTTCCCTCGTTGGAGGCTTGAGCACGGATGCGGCTGCTACGGGGTTCCCCGTAATACTATAATGACAATTAAAAAGGCCTGAAAGGCTGTCCTGTCCAGATTGGACAGGTAATTGAATTGGGTGGGCTTAAAGAATTAGCCTAGTGCCTCATCCTGCAGACTCTAGTAGGCAGCGAACCACCCTACCTTTCCTCTAAGGTGCGATATCCCTCCTTCCCTCCCTAAGTATCATGCCTACCTATCCCAGGCTCCCCTTGACGAGCCCTAATCCAGCTGATTCCCCCAATGAGAATTCCCAACGGACACCAACCTGGATGAAGCGCCATCTCACAGGCATCATATGGTACCTGTGGGATCAAGAATGTCCAGCACCCTACCCCATATGAACACCCTGTGTGTGCGTAGCATTACCCTTATTCGGATCCTACCGTAGTCAGGTCACTATGTATGGACTCTTGTTTGGGTACCATAGGCACTGTGACGAGAAACCATGGAACCCCACAGACTAGTACAGACTGGTGAAACCGACAATTCGAAGGGTCCCGAATTGCACGCAGCGGGTACCACCTATTGTTCCAAGCAGATCCTGTTGATGTATAGAGGGCCCAGGGGCCAGGGCCCTACCAGCCACCCTATCGTTACGAAGTCCTAGCAGTCCAAATGACAAATCTACCAGCGACCCTACCGTTACGAGTCCTAGCAGTCCCAATGACAAATCTCCCCTCCCCTTCCCTAGCTAATCCCTCCCCTAGGACCCTCAACCTAATCCTCCCCCCCCCTTACCCCCATGGGAAGTACACGAGCGTGACCCCACTCATCAGACCCGACCATAGACAAAGTACTCAAACAGCCCTCCTGAGGCCCACCACCAGCAAAAACAACCATGGACTGGACCCCTTGGGCGGTGCGCAGGCAGACCCATTCTGGGGAGGTGGGTTATCAGAGGTTGGTTGGGGGTAGTTGATGAGCGCCGAGGTCTCCACCATTACCAGTGGTCGATTCTCCCTAGCGAACAGACATAAGCAACGCTCATTAGTAGCAGAAAGCAACCACATACATCCATACAGACTATGATATCACACTAGCTGACATAGCAACCAGCATATTCAACAACCAACAGCAGCCATATATGAACCGAGTTGTGCTAGGTTGGTACTTAGAGGGGCTCATGGTTTAGACCTTGGTTAGCCGACCATTAGACACTGTGTGACGAACTGTTTTCTGCAACCGTGCGATTTTCTGCGCAAGGCTACTTCGGGGGTTGAATCGGAAGGGCCCACAAGATTACATGGGTGCCCTTGTTTTTCTTGTTTTTCTTGTTTTTGGAATCCAGGCCAGGGGTGATCTTGTGACTATTGGTAGCTGGTCGCGCCTTAGCGAGCGTGAGAGAGAACTGTTGCCATAACTTCTTTCTTGTTCTGTTGTGGGAAATGGGGATTTTGGCGCGGTCGTCGCGCGGGAAAATCTTTTTGAATTTTCAAACTGAGGTCGAGCCCCCGTGAGCTCTCGGAATTTGCTCCGTTCGAAATTTCTTTTTACAATTAGGATTTAGATTAGGAATTTAGGCGCGTCTCAATTTTTGTTGCACGACGCTTCTTGCTGGCGCACGCCTTGCCGCGTTAGGATCTATGTTCTGACTTTTCCGCACCTTTATCCTTGCGTGTAACTGTAATGTTTGTTTTGGCGGGCATAATTGCAACTGTAATCCCCGTGTTCTTGATATTTTTTGTGGTGTCCATGTGCGCGCGTACTTCTTCCTCTGTCCTAATTGACCGGAACGCTTGCATGAATGGATCGATATGTTGAGTGAGGCTACACCCCCCACGTCGCGGCCTGGCCATGCAGACGTAGGCACTTCTTCCTCCTCTTTCTTTTTGCACTTAGCCACAATCCCGGGTATCTCGCACAAACATGCATGCTATAAATCTCGCAAGCGCGGTTAACTGCCTCTCTAAGACTTCTGGAAGTTAGCGTGGTCGAGAGGATCGGCTAGCGAGCGAGATTTGTAAGGTGAGTAGAGAGTTGGGCGATCTGACGAGCTGGTGCTGGGTATGCGGGGTTGACGTGGGGCCGCGACGGACTGTGGCCCACGGGCGAACCTGTCGTGCATGCTCGGACTAAGCGGGGTGACAACTCTGTGTGGGTGCGAGGCGACGGACTGCCCGCATTGAGACGTTGTGAAGAGAGAGAGAGAGAGAGAGAGAGAGAGAGAGTGAGAGAGAGAGAGAGAGAGACACGGGAAGTGTCGTGGTGATGTTTCTCTTCCGTCCTTCTCAACAATTTTGGTATTCGGCGCCAGTCGCCTTGCCCTTCTTTTGGTCGGCACCTCGGAATTTTCTTCCTTGTTTTTGCTTCGGATATGGATTGTTTTCCCCACTCTCCATCTCTATTTTTTTGAATCGGCAAATCTAATTGATTGGTTCCCGGCGAACGAGCCTTGTGTAATCTCTAGGCTAACTGGCCAAAGAATTGTCGCATGACCCTCGATTCTCTGTTTATGTGTAAGATAGATGCATGGGCGATAGGCGTGATTTTGTCTGTATATGAATTGGATAAACATGCTAACTATTAAATAACCGTCGCATTATAGGATGGCCCAATCTCGCGAATCACTGACGTTCATCCATTTGATCGAAGGACAGGTCCCGCGCACACACATATAGGCTCGACCAAAGACGATCGCTGCCTACACGAGCGTCTGCGAAACCTAAAAAGGAATCGGGTGGTCCTTCGTTCGTTATAGGAGAAACTGATGTCATGAATATCGTCCGAGCCCTGGATCATCGGATCCCCTTGCCTATCAGACACTTGTTGTCCATATCGGAACAAGCGAATGAACGAATGTTGCAGCATTGCAAGGCAAACCGGAAACGGTTTCCCCTCGCTAAGCAAGCAGCCATCAAAGGGAAAGCCCCCGCCTGCGAAGACAGACCAGATGTCCCCAGCACCTCGGACTCGATAAGGTTACGACTCGTCCGAAAAGATGCTCATTTTCTGCGCATTAAGGCCATTCCGTGGAAATCCGCGGAATGCGACATAGAAGTCTGGGAAATCCGTACAACGCTATTATCGAATTTATCGACTCAGGGGCCGCGGTCCTAGCCATTTCTTTGAGGGTCGTGGAACGGGCAGTAAGAAGAAAGGATCTGATCTCGTTGACAGAAGGAGATCACCTTGTCTTCGCCGATGAGGGAAAGATCAAGGTAGTAGGAAGGATGACAAATATTGCATGTCGACTAGGGAAAGTTCACGCGTTGGGAGATTTCGTGGTACTAGACGTAAACACATATGATGTTCTTTTAGGATTACCAGCCTTTACCACACTAAGAGCCAATTCCGAGAGGCGGTCAGTCATTCTGCGGAACACGGGCGGGAAACCATACATTATCCCGATGCGCTTAACTCATCGGACTATGCTGCCTGCCACCCGGAAAAGCCCCCCCGAGACTGGAGAACCACTCCTTGTGATCACCTGGAAGGAAAAGAACCACGGAGAAACGACACCAGAGTTGTCAAGCAAGTCTTCTGACAGTGAGGACGAATCAGACCCAGTAATCCGGGATATGGCGCACCAACTGATGCGCTGCCCCGTTCGACAGAAAACAACGAAAACATTCGTCCTTACGGAAAGAAATCTTCGACGCACACAGACTCTAACCTTAGGGGAACCACTCGTACAAGTGTCTTGAATGGCTGATTCTTTGGAACCCCCTCAGACCTTATATGAAGCCACCACCCCGCTTCTCTCGAGATACAGCGACAAAAAAGCATTCTGCGACATTACGGGATTACCTCATTCCTTCGTCTCTACAGGGAAAGAGGCCCGATTGCTGCGACAGGGCGTTGAAGACGGAACTTTGGAACCCCCTGGGCGTGGAAGCCCTTACGAACTCGGGATCAAGATCGCCGAGAAACCCGTAAGCTTGCAGGACATCGATGACGGCGTAACACCAGAAGAACACGTGGCAATCCGGGAAGAAGACGTCCAGATGGTCACCACAGTGTTCTCCTGGCGATCAGACAACTCATTTATCTTAGCCCCTCCGTCGGGGAACGATAGAAAAGTGGTTACGAAACAGGTGACGGTTAACATACACGGACAACTCTTTGAACTACATGTGCCCCAGTACATGCCCGACGAAACTCGTCAACTAATCGCAGATATCCTAAACGAATATCAAGGGGCGATTAGTGTTGAGGACACAGATATCGGGTTGTCGTTAGTTATTCAGCGCGAAATCCAAACCGGAACACACCCACCAATCCACTGCAAGCCATACCGGTACTCCCTCGCCGAACAAAAGACAACGTTGGAACGAATCAGGGAATTCGAATCTAACGGTTAGATTGAGCCAGCTACTGGACCATGGTCATTCCCCGTAGTTCTAATTCCGAAGAAGAACCGGTCGATTCGCATTTACATCGATTATAGAAAGTTGAATGACATCATGATGAAGGATGTGTACCCCCTCCCCTGGATTGATGATCTGTTGGATGCGATTCAGTGTGCCAGATATTTTAGTAAGTTTGATATCCGCCATGTGTTCCATCATATCCTGCTTAAGAAGGAGGATCGGTCGAAAACGGCTTTCGTATTGTTCGAAGGCACGTAGCAGTGGGTTTGTTGCCCTATGGGAATATGCAATGGGTCGGCTACCATTCAGAGAGTGATGAACATCACCTTTCAAAACTTCGTCAACAAGACCCGACTGACCCAGGGAATGATCAACTTTTGCGTCATTGTGTACATGGACGATATCTTGGTGTATTCTGAATCGTTTCACAAACATGCTCAACACATTGAATGGACGCTCGAGGCATTGCGGGATGCTGGATTCAAGATTGCGCTGGAGAAAAGCGAGTTTTTCCTTTCGGAAATCTTGTTTTTGGGGTACGTGGTGACACGAGGAGGTTTGAGGCCAGATTCGAGAACAGTTGAGGCGGTTCGAGAAACCCCTATGCCCACGTCGCTGATGCAAGTTCGAGCCTTCCTGGGGCTGGCCTCGTATTACCGACGTTTCATCAAGGGGTTTGCTGCAATCGCCCGACCTCTAACAAATCTTTTACAAAAGGACCAGCCACTAAAGTGGGACGCGGAATGCGAGTAGGCCTTTGGCACCTGAAAGGAGGCCCTAGCCTTCGCGCCTATTTTGATTCGGCTTGATCCGGGTAAGCAATTCATCCTCATTACAGACTAGCAGCTTGAGGCGATCTCCGCTATTTTGGCCCAGAAAGGGAAGGACGGCCGCGAACACGTCACCGAATACGCCTCGCGAGTTGTACCCAACGAAAGAAGGAACGATTCGGCCCCTCAAGGAGAATGCTACGCGGTCGTCTGGGAAATTCAGCACTTCCATTCGTATCTATACGGAAGTCCCTCCTCGTCACGGATCACGAGCCCCTGATGACTCTCAAGAGGCTCACTAACTATACGGGCATGATTGGGCGATGGGCTGTCCGACTACAGGAATACGACTTCGACATCATCCATCGGAAGATGGAAAAGCACAGGATCGCAGATGGGTTGACACGACTGCATCGACCAAGCAAGTTGCCTAAAGGTGAAGAGATCACTCCGTGGAAAGAGTCGGAGCCAATCAAGGGACCCCCGTACGACGGAGTGGCCATTCTCCCCCGAGCTTCAAGAAAGTGACACGTGGACACGATAATGATGGGTGGAGAAGGTAACTCTAAAGGCCCCCTTTCTCCCCTCTCAACTTCTTCTCTTTTCTCCTTGACTGACAAATTTTGTTATTTTTGCGAAGCGATATCGTGAGTTTATTTGGTTCTCATGCGTCCTAGTGAGGAGGGGTATGCCTAGTGGGTAGATTGTGAACGGTGTGTCTCAGGGGCCCAGGCTTCTGTATTCAATACAGGAACGCGGATAAAGCCTGGTTATGTCCCTTGTGTCGAACCGATAAAATCCCGACGAATGCTTGATTCCTCGAAGCCACATCCAAAGGTTGGAGAAAACACACAAATTTCGACGGGCGGAAGTATGGGCAGATGTCGTTTTGATAGCCACGGTAGTCGGGAACTCCCTCCGGGAATTCACCAAGGAAGATCGGAGGCGAGTTAACGAGAGAGCACGGGATTACCGATGGAACGACGGACGATTGGAAAAACGAAAGACTGGCGGTAGTGGGATTTGGATGTCGGTGCCTCATCCGTTCATGAGGTACGACTGGGTTAAATCGGCCCACGAAGAAACCGCCGTTCACTTTGCTGTCAAGATCACAGAGGCAACCATTGACAAGAACGAATGGTATTGGTCCAATATCCGGGACGATGTTAAATTCATCGTTAAAAATTGTCTGGTATGCGCGGCAGACAAGGCAGCCGATTCAACCACCTAGGTCGATAGTGCCTATTGTAGTCGAGCGACCGTTCCAAAGGGTTAGCAGGGACACGACAGATATTGTCGTTCCCCCTGGAGCAAATAGCTGCGAATATTCAGTTCTTCTGGTATTCGTGGATTATTTCTTGAAATGGATCGAGGCCTACCCTTGCAAAACATGATAGACGACGACAATTGTGCGGTATGTCAACCGCTTCCTCGGAATGCATCAAGACACCAAGGAAATCCAAACAGACAACAGGCCAGAATTCCAAGGAGACATCTTAAGGAGCCTAGTCGTATATGGCGTCTCCATTCGCAATACGGCCCCCCATAGGTCGCGATCGAACGGACTGGTAGAGAATGCGGACCGGGTAATTAAGACAGCCTTGCAGCGAGATATCGCAGCTCGGGATACGAGGCCTTGGCCCGATATCGTAGACGACATTTTAGCTATCCACCGAGAGACACCCCATGAGTCCACCGGCCTGACCCCTTTTCAGCTACGGACCAATAGTCTGGCCTGCGTAGCCCTGCCAAGCCTAAACGACGAGACGACCCTTGTGCGACGAGCCACAAGGGCAACGGTCAAGGACAAGGCTCAACGCCACTTAGAGTTAATGGAAAAAGCCCTACGCCGACTAGCCCGAAAAAGACAACGGATGACCGAAATTGCCCACGGACGACAGGTCCGTCGCTATGAGGCCCGAAATGGGAATGTTGGGCCTCGGTCTCATTATAAATTAGGGGACATAGTGCAGGTGAGGAAATGTGCTCGCCAAAGCAAGTTAGGCTAACCGCCACGATTCTTTGGGCGATTCCGCGTAGTCGAGTTCGGTCCCAGCGGAGTGAACACGGTGCGGCTTGCGCCGGAGGTCTCGGGAAGCCGATCGGCTCAACCAATCATTTGACACATGTCCTATCTTCGTCCCTTACCTCCTTCTCTGTCTCTTCCCTCGTTCACATCGTCCCTCGATTCTCAAGAGGAAGGCGACGATCTCATACTCGAATACTCTGATTCTCCTTCCTCTCAACACCTGGGGGGCATATTTCGTCGATGTGCCAGGTATAACGACCACGATTGAGTCATAATCTGCTCCGTTTCGCGGCTTTCTTTACTACAACGGTCATCCACGTGGCAGCGGACTTTCGGTTTGCACGGACCAACGATCGAACGTGGGTGTTGGCCGAGTGTCGACTTTCCTGCGGTTGTCCCCACCAGGTGTCAGCCACGTGACAGTGATCGTCACATTCACCGACGATCTTAGGACGTTGCATCCGTCAGCTCATACAGGCGCCCTCCGACAACTCTGACTCTGGGCACGGGACCTCACGGATGCGTGGGTCCAACTTTTAGCTTGGTCAGTCGATCGGATCGACTCCACCAACGACATCGACCTCAACCAGCTCAGACTCTCTCTCTCTACTTCGGAGGTCATCATCCTGGATCTTTTTCCCTTCGCACAACCTCAATGAACCGGCACCGCCTCTCGACCTTTGGGCTTCCCTCTGATCTCCCTATCTTCTGGCAGTCCACTACGGACGTCCCTCTCTCTTTTCGGATCAAGCAATTGGATGTGTCGATCCTTGATGCCGGCAACGGCGGCAAGTGGGTGGAGTGGTCGAATGCGTACGTCGCTCTCAACTTCTGCCTTTTCGAAGTGGTGTTCCATTGGGCGGAGCCGGCCGATAAGGACGAAGAGGACGAGAACAAACGTGGAAGGGGAGCTGTTGGGGATTTTGTTCGGCAAGGTGAGGGACGACCATTTGGAGCCAATCACAAGCAAAATCCTGGTGTTTCTGGCGCAGCTCCTGGACGATCTACCTCTGGATATCTTGTCACGCTGTGACGAGCGGACCACACCAGCGGTGCTTACCCGCACGTTGGTACCACATCTGCTGTGGTCCACGTGTACGGAGCTCGACGACGACAACTGCTATTACCCCTCCTCAGGCTACTAGCTGGTCATCGACGTGACCAATCTCACCTTGTGGGATCCGATCGCCCGAAGAGTGGAGGTGGAAGGAGAAGCCGACGACGAGGAGGAAGGGAAGAAAGAGAGGAGGTGAGCGAACAAGACGAAGAAGAAAACTCAGGGGCGGAATCTGACGATCCCAATTACCACGAGTCTGAGGAGGGCGAGCTGGAAGAAAGTGAGTCGGGCGAATCGGAAAGTTCCAACGAACGGAGTAAGGAGGAAGACGAAGCCGCAACCCAGAAGAGGCGGGAAAGGGCGGAAGGAAAGCGACCCGTAGAAGAGTCGGACGGACCCGCGGTGCGGCTACTACAAGGAGATCCGACGCGCAATCCAGAGCCACCACAAGAGGAGCCCGGAGAGGATGGCATCACCAACGCAGAGGGATCCGGAAGCCGACGCCGTAGAAGTTCTTCGCCGGCTCGATGCTCTCCACCACCACGGCCCACCGTTCGCATACGTGGAGATGCGGGCGTTGGGGCTTCGTCCCCGGTCATTATCCCGCTGTCCCCTTGATTACCTCACCATCCATCAGCTCGTGGGCCGCCCTCCGTTCCCTTCTAACTGGCATCCTTTCCCACCTTCCCTCTTCCACCAACTCTATTCTACCTGCCTCATCGCCATCGTTTTCTCGCACGCCACCACTCGTTCTCTCGTAACTTCTTTTCCCCTTCACATCCTTCTCTTTAGCGCTGCATGGAGGGAATATAATATAGAGGTTTATTGCATAATCGCGGGTACCATCCTTGCATGCGAAGAATATGAGAATTTTCGCACCGCGATTCCTCGCACCCTTTGTACCCTCTATCCTGATTACCTCGCTTCACTCCCGCATTAAGATCATCGTTTTCGTCACATCCATCACACCGTCCACTACACCAGGCTCCCTGCTGGAGATCGGCAGCTTCACCACTTTCTGCCACCCATCCCGCAAGTTCCTCCTCCTCCTCCCCCACCTGTCATAAGGCTACCATTCCCCGACAATCTCTAGGATCGGAGTTCGCGGTGCCACCAGGATGACTTCCTCACTCTTATCTCACAGTAAGTGGCACGTGTCAGCTCCACGTTGATCGCTGGTGCTTTCTCACAAGATCGATGGATGATTGGGTGAGCAAGCAGGAGCTTGCTCAAGATTGGAACCCCCTGGGCGTTGTCGGGACAGAAACCCCTGTGAGGGTTTCTGCCCGAGGATTTCAAGATCGGACGTTGTTCGACTTTTTTTTTTTAATTAAGAGATTCGTGTTGGACACTGTCCGACCCTTTTTTGGATGAGAGACTTGATGAGGTTGACGTTGCCAAAGTTTATTCAGACCAGCCCTATGACTGAGAACTTTAAACTTTTTAGAAATTGACCAATCGAAACAGCGGGAGTCGGCGATACGACTCGTCGTCCGCGGTTCCCGACATGGCCGCAGGGTTGCGCGGTCATGGAAAGACTAAGGCTAGATTTATTCTACCTAAAAGACTGGCGCGTGATTGCTAAGCTGCGCGATTCAGGGCCTAAGTAGGCTAAAAAGAGGGATGCGCCGGGTATAGGGCCACGACGCAGGGGAATAGGAAGAAGAGGTTTTTCTTTCCTAGGCTGCGGGGGCTGACATCGAGCCAGGGGGGGCCAACCGACGGGGCAGGGTCTGCCAGTAAAGCATATTAGGCTTCAGGCAGGCGGGATTTGCAGAGCCGCAGGCAAGCAGGTCCTGCAAGGCCACAACATGGGGAAAAGTGACTGGGCAAGCTCTTCATATAGAAGAGGTGCTCCTATCACTGTCGTGACAGGAGCTAGCCCAGTAGGTTACAGTGCCAAACTCTCACCCGACATATACCGAGATCGAATTTGATATGAAAATAAACTGAACGATGAGCCAGGTGGCGCTGGCTGAAGTAAGGGGACTTATTGTCTCCTAGGAAGAACTGCAGGCGGCCATCGGAAACGAGCAACCGTTTTGTTTTCTGAGATAAGTTTTTTTTTTTTTTTTTTTTTTTTTTTTTTTTTTTACTTTATTTTCTAGATTCTTAGATTTGCTTTAGATGTTTCTTAGATTTTGTTGTCTTCTTTTTCTTTTTATTTGTAAAATTCGTAAACGCCCGTTCGTTTCAACGAACGGGCTGCTACTCTAGATAAGGATGAGCAAAATTGATCGAATCTGCCGCCATAAGGCGGTGACGTTCTTGGTGCGGGAAGAGACACGAGGGGCTCTTTGAAAACGAACGGGCAAGTCGTTCTCAGAGGGCTTTTCGCGACTGGTTGTTCGTTACTGGTGACGACTGCAACTGCAGAGAGAGAGAGAGAGAGAGAGAGAGAGAGAGAGAGAGAGAGAGAGAGAGAGAGAGAGAGAGAGAGAGAGAGAGAGAGAGAGAGGGGGAGCTCATAGGCCTTGCGCCTGTATCGGGTGCCTTCTTCCGCCCAGATACAGGCGTAGGCAGGGGGGGAAGACCCCTTTGAGCTTGACTCTAGTTCGACTCTGCAAAATGACTGAGGCTGGCTGCTTGTTTTGAAAACGAGTTGCCTCTGCATAGAAGAACGAAGGGGTAGGTAGGAAAAAAAGAAAGAAATAAGTAACGGCCACGTACATGGCCGCGAGGGTAGAGTAGATACAGGGATAAAAATTAGAAGAAGAGGGGAAAAGATGGAACAAAAAAAGGGGACGTCGCGAATTTAATCGCGACGTAGGGCCAGATGCTAGGGAAGAAGCATCTGGACTCAGAGTTGACAGCAGACTGTTGAACTTGCCTCTATACAGCCATTTAAGGCTGCATCTGGTCGGGGGTAGCGGTCAGATGCATTACCAAGGCCTGGAACTTGGTTCCCTTAGGGAAACATCAAGTTTCTTAGCCCTTTTATCGCGTTTGAGATCAAGGGTCAGGCCTCACTTCGAGTTTTGGCTGGGGGCAAAGCAACTGCCTCAGCCTTCAGCCAGCTATAAAACAGCCAATAGCCAGCCAACCAGCATTCATTTGTGGCTGGTGCTGCTAGCATTTCGCTTGGGTGAATGCTGGCTGCTGGAGGAGGAGCTGCTAGTGGAGTGAGAAGGAGCTGAGTGGAGGACTGCAAGAGAGAGAGGGGGACTGCTGGAGGTGGCTATAGCTGTGAAGCACAACCATAGTCGCCATCTCAACGAGGGGAAGAGAGAGAAGCACTGGAGGTCTGCAGAGAGCGTGGGAATGAGGGTAGCCATAGCTTCCACTGCACTTGGTGGAACGCAGGGGAGGTGCTGTTCGCTCAACATGGCAACGGCGACACTTTTTGGCGGTGACGCGGAAGCGCTGCCGATTTTTTGCGGCGGCGGCACTGAGATTTTGGTAGTGGCGCGGAAGTGCTGCCAAAATCCTCCGGCGTCGACGGTGTTTTTTGGCAGCGACGCGGAAGTGCTGCCGAACTTTTGCGGCGGCGGTTGTGCGTTCTAGGTGGTGGCGTGGAAGCGCTGCCCATTTTGCCTTGACTGTGAGGGATATTTTGTGGCAGTATGCTCTAGTATTGACGACAACGGCGTGGTGGTGCGGTTAGTGTGACGGCGATGCTGAAACGTCGTCAGATTATAGGGAAGTGATTCTGTGTTGAAAATGTATTGTGGCAGGCGTTCGTCGCAAGGGAGTGGTGTGGATCACTTTGCTGACGGCTCATTGTGAAAGTTTCTCATTTGAAGGCGATAAGTGATACGGTTTTCTTGAGTGAGACGTACATCATCTTCACTCAAGGTCAGTCAGTCAGTTAGTTGGTCAGTTTGACTCAGACCCCTTCACACCTGTGTGAACCCACACTTGCTTGACCCTGTTCTTTGAGTGTTCACTGAAAAGGTAGAGGAAATGTGTGTTTGCACACGTGAATGGAAGTCTGATATGAGTTTGAAATTGCATTGTCTTTTTTTGAACTTGTTGTTTGATTTGATGTGCAGGTAGGTAGAAGGATGCCTGAAAAAAGAGAGTCTGACCATGTCAATGACAATGAGAGAATGATGTTTGTTATCAGTTGCTCACTTGTATGTATGTTGAAGGGATGGGAAGTCAGTAGACGACGAGAAATGAAGTGACCACACAAAGAAGAAGAAATCAATTGAACATAAACTTTTTCTTGAGGTTACCCGTTCTTTCCGGAATTACCCTCCCTGTCTATGCCCGTCTCTCTGAATGATTTTCTCTTTTGTGATCTCTTCCTTTTTCGTCTAAGTTACCCTTGACGTCAGGCGTTGAGGGATCATTTTGCCCGCCGTGGTATACGTTTTTCCTTTCCCTAGGAGGCATCTGAGGCGGGGGTTCGTTGCGTTAAGGGCCGGCCCTGCTGCCGACTCGGAGCGGACCGTTCATGCGGGGGGATACCATGCTGTTTTGGTGGAGCCAGCCCGACTTCTGAGATCCGAGGTTCGCTCGGGCGAGGACGAGGGGTGTCCCAGACCACCTTTTAGGGGAAAGGATTTGCGGCTAATCGCAGGGGGCCTTGAGTTCCATGACGCCTCGCGTTACGGGGGGAATTGCCATAGCATACACCTCTAGTGGCCGTTTTAGGGATCACTCGTGCATGGAGAACTGAGCCACAAGAAGCTCGGTTCATCGTTACTAGTTGGAACAGAGCGCGACTAGGCACTCTTGTCATGGTTGGCCTCACCACAAGAAGCGAGAACCAATAGGGTCGATATGCAAGCAAGGCTTTGATAGTTAGAGTCGGGAACGACCTTTCCCGGCAGGGTCAATCAGGGTCAGGAGGACAAGGCAACCAACAAAATTTGAAAGTGGATCCTTGTCCTTAATGGAGCATCCAGTGTTCGGTTGTTGAAGATGATCGCTAACTTGTATAGTGGTAGCCAGATTACTTTCAAATGACATTCACACCAAAGTTGGAGTGAAAACGTAGTCATCACTAGAGCGATAACATCTTAACTTTGCTTGGAAGTTGAGATGTCAACATTTTTTTGATAGCAGTCAGTGTGGTATGGGCTGAAAGAACTTGGCAATGCACCTCATCAAGTCAAAAAGTCGTGTCAACCCAGCCATTTGGCATGCAGAGTGAAGATATTTCGGTCAGGCGCCATTTGAGCGTCGCTATGCATCTAAATCATGCTTTTATCCTTTTGCTGACAAATGTTATTTGAAGTCGAGTCAACTCATGTTGGCTCGTTGTTAAATGACAAGCCAAGTCAGCCTTTGTCGATTTGATCTGAACGAGTGGTAGGCATGATTGCAATATGTACATATCGATTTCAGAATATAAGTCAACTTACGTTGACCTGAGTCTTCTTTTGAAAATGATTTGTGTGATTAACTCCTGATTGTCTTTGAAAGGAGGGACTAGGATCGCTCGAAGTTTTTTCTTACGCTTAGGTTATCACGTCCTAGTCGATCCTGGGAGATCAGCGCCCTAGGGACGAACGACGCTCGGGTACACTTTGGCGTTCAACCATGCGTACCTATGCTACAATGAATGATCAAACGCCCCCGGTCGACCTACCTCTGCAATTGCATCATAAAAGCCTTCGCACGTGGGCCGGTAGCTCGGCAGGGATACACCCCTGAGGGTGGTGACAGCCCCTTAGGGAAGGTAAGTTGTGCC